CTAATTCTGCTAGTAATACTTTTACTGTTATTTACGTTGTTATTTCCATCATATTTTCTAAGCGCTTGAACAAGGCTTATGATTTTCAGGAGCTTCCTACCTTCCCACCCACACCCACCCTGTAGTTTTTTTTTTTTTAAATCGACACCTCTGTGACACAAAGATACAAGTGAATGGTTTCGTAAAAGTTAGAACTATGACAACACAAACAAAATCTTACCATTTTTCCCAGAAAATAGGATTTGGTCTGTTAAAAATGTTATATTCACAAAAGACGCCTTAGTCCTTATTTTCAAGCTTGAATCCTTTATATATCTTTATCTTATAAATAATTAATTATATTTTGTTATTGTACTCTAAATCATTTGTATAAAAAAAATTGTTCATTTATAACAACCTCCTCTTATTTAAGCAGAAAAAATTCATAGTCCAGTGATTCCCAAACTGTGCGCCGCGGCGCCCATGGGAGCCGCAACCTTTTCACAGGCGTGCCCTGAAATATTGTAAAAGCTTCATAAGTAACTTAACCAATCTATGAATAGTCATAATTTTACTTAGGTTAGGGCGCTGTAGAATTTTTTTTTTTTTTTTTTTTTTTTTAAAAAAAAAAAAAAAAAAAAGCTCCACGACTAAGACAAGTATGGGAAACGCATTTTGAAGTTACCCTGGTTCCTGTCGTATGACTACAATGAACTTTCGGCAATTAGACGAACACGATGAGAGGAGAGAGACAATTCTCATTTCGGTGGAATTTGTTCAGTTTGTAATAGGACTGGGTTAAACTGACTTGCTTTGGAAGCTACACTGAGCAAGAAATTCGGGCTATAAAAAGGTTTAAACATAACATTTGTCATCATAAACACACTGAGTTTAAACAATAGAAATGTAGCTGTTCAAAATAGTAAATAGGAAGATAAGAGGAGTGGAAGATTTGTGTCTCCTGTGCAGACTGGTGGTGCGCGTTTCACATAATTTCTTGTTGTTGGTACCAGAAACCAGATCAGTAACTTCACCGAAGAGTCCCTTCGTGCCGTGAGCTGTCTGAGGACATTAGACTTGTCATTCAATGAACTCACCGCCGATGCGTTTAACGCCAATACGTTTCAGTCAGGTAAGTTGTTTCTGTCATTGCTGCTGCTGTTGCTGCTACTATAATACTATGAGAATCACCATTACTATCACTACTTTGCCACAATTACCGCTACTATAACCAACAATGTTACTACTCATATCTACTCCTCTAACTAACAATGTGACTGCTCGCTCCTATAACTACCACCACTATCACCACAACAACTATTACTACTACCACCACCGCGGCTACTGCCACTACTACTACTACTACTACTACTACTAACTACTACTACTACTACTACTACTACTACTACTACTACTACTACTACTACTACTACTACTACTACTACTACTACTACTACTACTACTACTACTACTACTACTACTACTACCACCACCACCACCACCGCAGCTACTGCTACTACTACTGATACAGCAGCAACACGTGTTTCGCTAGCAGGGTGAAAGGTTATCATTCTTGATGTTGATATTTTGGATTTTTGTTCTGTATGCATACGAATGACTGTTTTTGTGGTAGGCTATTTTGTGCTAAAGGGCCAAATTATGTAGTCACTTTATATCATCCTCGCCGGCCGTGGACTGCCCACCCGTGATTTAGAGGTCCCAAATGGACATAGAAAGGCAGTCACAGAATAAAGTTACTTTATTCTAAAAGAGTAGAAACCTGGGCACAAAGTGAGAGTTTAATGAAAGCGTGTGATATCCTTGACAATGTATCCAAATGAGTCAGGATGCTAAGGAAGAAGAAGAAGAAGAAGAAGAAGAAGAAGAAGAAGAAGAAGAAGAAGAAGAAGAAGAAGAAGAAGAAGAAGAAGAAGAAGAAGAAGAAGAAGAAGAAGAAGAAGAAGAAGAAGAAGAAGAAGAAGAAGAAGAAGAAGAAGAAGAAGAAGAAGAAGAAGAAGAAGAAGAAGAAGAAGAAGAAGAAGAAGAAGAAGAAGAAGAAGAAGAAGAAGAAGAAGAAGAAGAAGAAGAAGAAGGATTAAGAGGGGGAGGAGTAGGAGAAAGAGGAGGGGAGAAGGAGAATAGGATGACAAAGAGGATGATGATGTTGAAGCAAAATATGATAATGATGACGCTGAAGACTTATCTCTAACTGCACATGCAGCCTGGAAGAAATCTATTCACACAGACCACTCTTTCTTGGTTGTCGTGTGCGTGAATGCTCAACCGAGCTAATTTCCCCAAACATTAGGAAACAGGCTTCTAAATAGATCCAGCCTAAATGCCTATCAAAAAAAGTCCAGGGAAGTAAAGACTATGGGCACGGTATTCACAACAGCACCCTTTGAGTGCCTGTCATTCTATTAAACAATATTAGTAGCACCAGAAGCCATCGACTTCACGAATAAATTGACCCCAGTTTTGAAACACTTGGCTATTCCAACAAAGACCCAAAAAAAAGGAAACATGATAAAGAACACGACATAAAATTGACCACCTGCGAAATGAGATGTTTGAGAAAGGCCGTGAACAAAACTTGAAACGTTCATGTAAGAAACGAAGAAATTACAAGAACTGTTGGAACAAGCCCAGTAATTAAATTCATAAAAAACACACAGATGAAATGGTTTGGTCATTAAATGGAGACTGAATCCAATGATGCCAGCAGCGAGAGCATAATAAAAAAGTAGAAGCAAAGAGTAGGGGACGGCCAAGAAGGATACGGAACGAATTAGTCACTGATATCTTGAGACTGTACAACATCACAGCATACCGGACAACCTAACGTAGTCACTGATATCTTGAGACAGTACAACATCACAGCATACCGGACAACCTAACGTAGTCACTGATATCTTGAGACTGTACAACATCAAAGCATACCGGACAACCCAACGTAGTCACTGATATCTTGAGACTGAACAACATCAAAGCATACCGGACAACCCAACGTAGTCACTGATATCTTGAGACTGAACAACATCAAAGCATACCGGACAACCCAACGTAGTCACTGATATCTTGAGACTGAACAACATCAAAGCATACCGAACAACCCAACGTAGTCACTGATATCTTGAGACTGAACATCAAAGCATACCGGACAACCCAACGTAGTCACTGATATCTTGAGACTGAACAATATCACAGCATACCGGACAACCCAACGTAGTCACTGATATCTTGAGACTGAACAACATCACAGCATACCGGACAACCGAGCGTGCACAAGCTGGGAAACTGATAATCTCTCAACTTACGGCGCTTAGTGGCACACAGCAGAAAATGGACTCTCCCCACTCCCATCGTGTTCACTAAGGCTGTGATCACCTACCATATTCAGTCTTGATTTCTAAACTCAGTAAGGTTAAGGTCGGGAGAGCACGCAAGACCCTCCAGTATAAGTGGACCAACAACCTACTTCGACAGGCCTCAGACAGGGAGCATGCAAAAGAAGAACTGCCAGAACCAATTTTCTACAGCCCCCATGGTGGACTCCAGAAGTAGAACAGGCATGAAAGGCAAAGAGAGCCGCATTGAAGCAGCTAAAGAAAGTACGACAGACACCCTTAAGCTCACGAGAGGAAGTGGAGATGGCGGAGAATGTGAAAAAAGATAAGGTGGAGGTTTTCAAGCGCTGTGCTGCAGAGGCCAAAAGAGCAAAGTGGAAAACTTTTGTGAATGACATGGGAAGCGATAAAACATTGGGGAAATTCTGGAAACTGCAAAGACAGATGCAAAGAAAAGATCGGCCTATGACAGTCGAAACAATTTGTAGAGACGATGGTGTACGTGTGACAACAGACAAGGAGAAAGGGGAGGCTTTTCTCCATAGGTTTATAGCTCAGGCAGATCATAATGATGTAGACATCAGGGATGCAGTTAGAAAGGAGTTAGCTGGCACCTTGAAAAATATGCATTATGAAGACATGATACAAGTGGAAGATATCAAACAAATTTTGAAAAAAGCAAAAGACGCTGCACCAGGGCCTGATGGTGTCAGGTATGGTCACATGAAGGCTTTGACAGATGTAGACCTGGCAGAGATGGCCGACTGTTTTAACCAGAGTATTAAGACAGCATCAGTACCACAAGACTGGCTGCACAGCAATCTAATCCCACTACCAAAACCTTTTAAAGATCATTCTAAGCTTAGTGGCTTTAGAATCATCATCTTACAAAACACATTTGGGAAGGTCTTGGAGAAAATAGTTGCTGTAAAGTTACAAGAATTTTTGGAAAGGGGGAAGCTTCTCCTAAGAGGTCTGGGAAGTTACAGGCCAGGAAAGGACACTTGGGCAAATGCGGCCACTTTTGCTTTAGACGTCTATGAAGGGTTCCAGAACAGACAGGAAACTATGGCGGTAGAACTGGATCTCGAGGATGCTTATAACAGAGTGAGATACGACATCTTAATGACTGCACTGAGGGAGAAGGAGGTCAATCCATGGCTGGTGAATTGGGTTGCAGCTGTCCTGTACTCACGTCGGGTTGCTCTCCGAATGGGCTCATGGACCCCTGAACCATGCACTTTGGCCCCAGGACTGCCACAGGGATCCGCCATCTCGCCTGTGCTCTTCAACGTGTATACGAGCAAGATTGCAAGCCTAGAAGCACCAGGAGTTGGAAGGATACTGACTTTTGCGGATGATATACTTGCATATAGGTAGGGAGAAGAAAGGGAACAAACAGCTCGGGAGCTACAAGCGACAGTAGACAAAGTGACTGAGTGGTGTACAGAAATGAAGGCTATCGTCCACGCGGAAAAGGCGTTTTGTGGTGTTCTCTAGACAACAGAATAGTTAAAACTAATGTCCCAAGTCTCACGATAGATGGTAGAGTCATTAACAGAGAGAGCAAACTGAAGTATCTGGGAATTACATTTGACATGAGCCTGTCATTTAAGGACCAAATGGAGAGTGTTGTGACGAGATGCCAAAAAGGACTTAGTGCACTTAAGACTATGGCTGCAATTGACATAGAGCAGAGAATGCTTTTCACACTATATCAGCACCTGATCCTGTCAGTGGTGGATTATAGCCTGGGACTGCTTACCGTCCCAAAGAGTCAGATGGACAAACTAGAGCGCATACAGAACGCGGCTATGCGGGTCATTCTGGGTTGCACCAGAGACACCCCAGGAGTGTGTATGCGATACATCCTTGGTTTGCCGACGGTTGCAGGCACAAGGTGATGCAGGCGAAGTCATATCTCAGGGTAGCTGCAGACACAGACCACCCTCTGCATAAAGCTCTGGGTGCAGTTAAGGGTCAGCGGCTGATAAGAGGGAGGTCATGGATGGCTCAGGCAGAAGATACAATCAGACAGGTTTGCATCCTTGAGAACATTAGGCGAGGAGAGTAGTGGGTCAAAGTGCCACCTGAGCAGTCAGACTTGTGTAGAGTCATAATCACGTTGAGCCGGGAATGCAGAGACTGGCCAGTAGGTGCCACAGAGATGGAAATTCAGCAATTAATTCAAGATAATGATCACTCAGAGGATTTGATCATTTACACAGACGGTTCAGTGTCAAGAGGGGAAAAGAAGTGCTTGGGGCTTTTTAGCAAAAGTTAATGGTCGACGTTTGGTGCAGGAGAGCCTAGCATATGATACCACAACATCCAGCTTAAGAATGAAGGTGGAGGCGGTCACTGCAGCTTTCCGCTGGCTAGAGAACACGACACACACACACATCGTGATTGTAACTGATTCAGAAAGCATGCTGAGGAAGATCAGAACAGGCATGCTTCGTGCAGAGTGGCCTGCTTCGCTGCAGAGGACACGAGTGAGGAGCATTGTCTGGATTTTTTCACCGGGTCACGCCGGTGTGTTGGGAAATGAACAGGCGGACAGACTGGCTGGCTCTGCACTACTTAGTGGAATACTGCTACATGATAGGGCAGACGTGGTTAGTGCCTTGTAGGAGAGCGTGTAGAATGCGGAGGAGCAGATGGATCACCACAGTCTGGTGAGATTGATGCAGCTGGGGGTGACGAGAGGTTCTGGCAGAAGCTCAAGGGCTCAGAGAAAAGGCAAGACGGACGTTTAATCAGAAAGCTACTGGCACCATTAGTATCGGAACTCTTCGCTGGCTGCTGAAGATGGGGATGGAGCGCTTATGGGAATGCCCTGAAACTGTGATGTCGGTTCTTGAATCAAACCAAATCAAATCAAATCACTAAGGTCGTGTGATTGTTAAACCGTGTCTTATGTTCTCGACTGCAATGTTTTAAGAGGATTGTTGCAAGAGCTACCGAGTTCGTGCTTTATGCAAAGTATTCGGCAGCACATTAGTGCTTAGACGATAATGAATCAGCCATATGATGATAAAACCAGTGTACTGAGTTAATATTTTATGAATATATATATATATATATATATATATATATATATATATTTACTGAATGCAGATTGGTCACTAAAAATATGAGTAATTTCCGATGTTTCACTGGTGTAAAATTAGTCCTTCACTTTTATTTTAATAAATATTGTAGCCTGAAATTTTGAAAATGTGTCCCAACTTACAAATGATTTCACCTTGGTGTCCAGGTGTGTACTACCTGCAGCGTCTGATACTCAACAACAACCCCATCGGCCGCCTTCCTGGCAACGTCATCACTCAGCCATTTATGCCATACCTCAGAGAGCTGGACCTCTCGCACTGCCATCTAGAAGATTTATCCAACAAACGCCGTGGATGACTTCGGGGAATTGCAGATTTTGAACCTAAGCTTCAACAAACTGAAGGCCATTGATGGCAGCACGTTTAAGGTTTGTTTTCCTTAATCCCCATGTAAGTAAAGTAATTAGGAAACATTTGGAAGCAACAAAGATGTGGTTTGTGAGACGAATGTTACAAATACTTTGGACAGCCAGAGTAACTAACAACGATTGCTTGCAAGAAACTAATGACAGTAGATCCATATATAGAACAATAAGAAAGAGACAAACACTGATCTTTGACCACATAATGAGAAGAGAAAACATTGGAGAACATCATGACAACTGGAAAGATCAGTGGAAAGAGGGGTAGAGACAGACCAAGAGAGATGATGCTGGATGGGCTGAAACTGTTGCATGGAGGGATATCATCAAGAGAGCTGTTCCAGGCAACCAGGGATCGGGATCTGTGGAGACACATGAGTGCCTAGCCAGTTGCCAGGGCACATGATGATGATGATGAAGTAAAGTAAAGATTCTTTTCCACGCCTTTAGGCCCATCGGGCACATGGGAACAGCACCGAGATTTTTACAGACCAATCGGCACTAGGTATGTAATGTGGTCAGCATTACGCCGGTCGTCTTTACTTCCAAAGACATACATCCTACTACCCATTTAGAGCTGGGTCGACCTGCGACGGTCCACACCACGATAAAAATCCACGCAGCCAGAAGTGGGTTTCTATCGCGTTATGTTGGAATTACGAGTCGGACTCGCAACGCCTAAGCCACAGACGCCGCTCGATCCATGTATGCATGCATATAATGTTATTTCATTGCACAACAGGCACCAATGATGATCAATATTTTTCCTGGTGGTGGGAAGGAAAAAAAAGTAAATTTTTTTTCTTAATTTGTTTAGTACTAATCGATGTCTGTGGCTAGGTTATGCGAACGCGCGTCGTAATGCCAGGGTGCCGGGTTCGATCCCAGCTGCGGGCCTTGCGCCTTACGTTGGTTTCGACAGTGGTATCGAGAAGCTGACTGTCCAGAAAGCAATGGCAAACCACTCGAATTTGCATAGAAAACCACACCTGCCCCCCCCCCCACACACACACACAAAATACTGGCGTTGGTTCTATTATCTCCTGTAAAGAATACGTAACAAATTTTTTTTTAAGTGTATTTCAGTACTAGGTAATTTACATTGTATTAAATAAACTCACAATGTATTGATGAGCACTAATAAGAAGTTTATTTCTGTGTAGATGATTTACATAATTATGTGGGGGGGGGAAACACAACAAGGAAATTAAATATGCACCGCACGTAGCATGTCAAGGCTGACAGTATTTTAAGGCTTAATTAATATTCTACAACCAAACCACAATACCGGATGTGCTACTAGGTTTAACATAACAATTTTTTTTTTTTTTTTTGTCAGTGGCCCTAACACAAACACATTTAAGGATGGGTTAAACCCTTAAATCTTTTTTGGGGAGATTTAGAGCTTGAGGGAATCAATGCTTTTTTAAGTGCATAATAATAATAATAATAATAATAATAATAATAATAATAATCTCCTGGTTCTGGTTCCTCTATCTCTGGACTTTAGTCTTGTTCCAGAACCAGAGAGTTGCGTGCACGACAGTTTTACAGATTTAACTAACCTGTATACAGTTGGTTCTTTGCCTCTCAGCCAGATGTACTTCGACTTCGAAGGAAAGCCCAAGTTAGTCGAATCTTACAACATACTTGTTAGATAGGCAGGGAGTTTTTTTTTTTTTTTTTGCCCCCCACAATAGGGCCCCGGAATCCACACGGGGAAGAATAATAATAGGAGTGATAAGTATAGGGGTGCAGCCAGGTGTAAGCTGGTTGTGCTGGGTGTCGTCACTGAGGGAAGGGGAAACAACACAATGGGAAAATGTCTTGTTTCTGACATCAAAAAATGTGTGTGAGCGTGTGTGTGTGTTTAGGTGCGAGAGAAAGAAAGAAAGAAAGAAAGAAGAGAGAGAGAGAGAGAGAGAGAGAGAGAGAGAGAATGAGGGAGAGAGCGCGTGTGTGTAGCGGTAACATCTTTCTCCTAGTACCACTGGGAGTGACAGGAAGTTTTCCGTACCGGGACCAGCTGACCTAGCTAGGCCACTGGATAAGCCTATGTATAGGTTTTCAGTTTGGTTCTCAAGATACTTGGGTTCAGACACGCCCATTTTCCTCTGTCTGTGTGTTCTAGCCTGTTTTTCTCTCCAATCAGGGACTCAGCAAACTGGAGCATCTGGATTTAAGAGAGAACCAGCTGACCTACATGCCTGAGAACATCTTTGGTGACCTGGTCAGTCTGAAAGTCCTACTACTCTCTGACAACAAGATCCAGGGTTTCCACGAGGGAGCATTTTACAGGTAAGTTCTGGAACCTATTGATGTCGCATGGGATAAGATAAAGTCAAAGTCAGCGAAGAGCCCTTTCACGCCTTTCATGGTTCTGTAATAAACAAACAGACGATGTCTCATCTTGCAGTGTCACTTGGAATGACAGGACATTTTCCACACCGGGCACCACCTTTCCTTGCTTCGACACTGGATCAGTCTATTTATAGATTTTCTTGAAGGATCTCAAGATTGTTCACGTATCTGGCACTCATTGTTAGACTGTATTTTTATTGCCCAATCGGCACTCTATTTATGAATGTTTACATCACGCCAGCCACTTTGTCTCTCCAGAATATCAGCAAGTACCTATTTGAGTATGAGCTGACCGAGTCCTGACTTTAGGACAGTGTTTAATCCGTTTCTTCTATCTAGGATATGTTCGCTCTGTGATAGAGTACAACAACTCACTGCTTACAACTTGCTCCAAAACTAACTTAGAGACTCTTGACAGAGTACAAAATAATGCCCTCCGATTAATCTGCGGAGCTATGCAGTCTACACCAACTGCTGCATGTGAAATCCATACAAATGTGGAACCCCTCAGGTTGCGGAGAGAAAAAGCCACTTTAGAATTTTATGAAAGATGCGTTAGAAAAAATCGTAACCATCCTAATAGACATCTTGTAGAAAACTGGGAATACAAACAAGGAATAAAGCACAAATCGGTTTTACACTGTGTTAATGAAATTCAGGACAGATACCACCTCCCAGAAAGACGTCAAGGAATTCAGAATGTTGCAAGAAACCTACCACCACATGCTCGCTTTAAAGCTCCAGAAGTCCGAATTTAATATGGCATGCGAGGAAACCAAACAGTCTAAAGACCGTTGATTCTTACCCCCAAGAATGGATACATGTCTATACTGATGGATCAGCATTTAAAGCTACCATTAAAGCAGGTTACGGAATCTACATAGGTTATCCCGATGGATCTGTTGAAGAGATTTTTGATGCATGCGGGGAATTCTGTTCAAATTATGAAGTTGAAATAATTGCACTGGAAACAGCAGTATACCACCTAAAGACTGTAATAGATGTTTACCCTTCAAAGGTCTAAAATATTGTCATCTTCACAGATTCAATGTCTGCCCTTCAAGCTCTGGAGGGCAGTGAACGCTGCAGAACTGACATAGCCAAGATAATCCTGGATGCTGATCAGCTTATTACCTCATACAAAATCAGAATAGTGATGCAGTGGATTCCAGGTCACTCCGGCACACCAGGTAATGACAGAGCTGACAGATTGGCAAAGAAAGGAGCAAAACAAGAACAATCACCTACAGCGACAACCCTCCAGAAAGCAAAAACACTTATAAGAGCTATAAACAAAGAGACTTGGTTGAACAGATGGGCCATGGGAGACACTGGAAGAGAGGTTTATAGACATATGGCTGGCCCTGATCCTAATGACAGCATCAACCATCTAATAAGAAGGGACCAGGCCACCATCTTCAGACTTAGAACGCAACATACTCCACTCAATAGACATCTAAACAGAATACAGCCACAACACTCTACAGAGTGCCAGCTATATAACCACCCCTACAAAACTGTTGAACACCATCTCTTTGAGTGCCCAAAACTCAGTGAGACAAGAAGAACGCTACTCCATCCGAGACCAGACAAGTGGAACACCTTGTACGGAGGAAAAGAACAGCTTGTGAAAACATGCAAATTCCACTACATGGCATTGGGCCAAAGGGCGAAAGCTCCTGCGCCGATTGATCGATAACAACAACAACAACAATCCGTTTCTTCTCAGACTCTCAGCTATCTTTTCTGCAATCATTTCTTCCTTCGCCAATTGATCACCAAATAGCAGGCGTACACACATGAGCTTTGAGAAAGTATGGCGAGAGAGAGAGAGAGAGAGAGAGAGAGAGAGAGAGAGAGAGAGGGAGAGAGAGAGAGAGAGAGAGAGAGAGAGAGAGAGAGAGAGAGAATAAAAAATAAGAAACCCTAAGAAATACCATTCAAAAATACGATGAAAGTATTAAATAAAAAAACATGTTCTTCCCATCACAGATATTCCAGCCTTGAAATTCTGGACCTTCGAAATAACCAGCTGACCAGTGTCCCATACACAGCACTGGACAAACTGACCAAACTCCAGTCTCTAGATTTGAGTCAGAATCCTATCCGGCAAGGTACGCTTGCAAATGTATGTGACTAGCTGTGTGTATGTGCGTATATGTATGTCTGTGGGTGTGTTGGAGTGAATAAAAGTCCCGTTTTCACCGGAACAGTCCCATTGTCTTAGGTTCACCCAGGTTGTCATGTCGATACTCCTAAAAAGAGCCAAATGTCCCGTTCTATAAAATCGTGGAAACATATCAAGAAAAGAGCAAGCACTTATAATTATACCTGTAGACCTTATGATCTGAACATCAAGGAAGATTGGCTAATAAACAGCATCCTTTCTCGAAGGGGACATATTTTGGTCGTATCAAGCGCCACGACGGATTGGAAAAAAATTATAACAGAAAGCATGGTACCAGGAAGGAGGGGTAGGGTCCGATCGACACGAAGATGGGCACAGGATATAAGTGACTCCTTGAGTGTGAAAGTGCATGAGGCTAGAGAACTGGCGAGATACCGAGTTTCTTTCAGGCAGACTGTGATGAGAGCAACGTTCTGCAAAGGACCTGCTACATGATGATGATGAGACCTTTTTAGAGTTCATAGTTTTAAATACCTTTAATGCTTTGAATGTGTTGGAGAGAATTTGCATTGTAGCAGTTTCTTTTTTTTTTTCAGTACACGTTAAAAGACATATTAATTTTTTTCGGCAATGGCTCGGGTTTTAATACCATTGTCAAGCGAATAATTGCCCTTTCATCCCGGTAACCTACGGAAAAAAAGTTAAAAAAAACAAACAAACAGGGAAGGGGAGGAAAACTGACTTTCTGAGGAAATCCAGTTTTCAGCACAACATTCATGTGGTATCCTGTTTTCACTTTCAGATAAGATGTCAACCGTGTGTGTGTGTGTGTGTGTGTCTGTGTGTGTGTGTGTGTGTGTGTGTGTGTGTGTGTGCGTGCGTGCGTGTGTGTGTGTGCGCCCGCGCGAGCGCGCGTTTTGTTCTTGTTCACCGTGCTCACTAAGAGAAACAAATGGACGCACCAAGATGGTGGCTGCTCCAATGGTTGCATACAGAAATTGTTTAACATACAGTGAGAAACAATTAGGGTGATCGTCTGGTGTCTTGAAAACTCGTCATACATTACCTTTTTGTACCTAAACTACAGGAGAGAGGAAGATGAGGGCATCATGGCACCAATTTAGGACATCTTTGAGTCTAGTTAGATATATAGGCATCAAAGCCAGTCTACTGTACAATCCTCAAGCGACCAGCTAATGCGTTTAAGTAG